ATCAGATGATTAATAATTAGATAGGTGATTGATTAATCGAAATTCTCTTTTAGGGAGAGAAATCAAAGAAAGAGGGGTTTATGGAGTTTATAGAGTTTATATTAATATAGGATGTAGTGTTTTTAAGTGATGGATGAATGAATGGATGGTTGGTAGGCAAGTAGTTGGATGTGGAGAGTTTCTTTGTTTTGTTCTTTGTTTCTATTTTTATTTTGGGGTATGGATTTTTGGAAGTTGGGAGTTAGGAGGAGAGGGGTGAAGAGAAAAGGGGTAGGCGTTTGACTGTTTGAATGAGTAGTTATGGGTATTGAGGAGGTAAGAGAGAAAGGGAGAAATATGGATAGGGAGGGGAAGCGGAAAGGAAAGGAAAGCAAAGCAAAGCAAAGGAAAGGAAAATTCCATGGTTCTGTTTGGTCATTACTTATCAGATATTGGAGAGAAGAGATGAGATTTTTTGGATTTGATTAGAGGGAAACTTGGGTTTGAGTTATAGATATCAAATGATGGAGATTAATAAAGATTTTGAAAATTAAATAGTAGATAGAAAAAATGAGAGAGGAAAGAGATAGAGAGTTAATGAAAAAGGTGTGAGGTTAGTAAATAAATGTTTAGATAGACAGGTAAATAGGGATAGAATAGTAAGTTGGTGAGTTGGTAGAGGGAGGGGGAGGGAAAGGGGGAGGGAAAAGGAAGAGGATATAGATAGATAAATCGATAAATATATAGATTGTATACTAAGTAGTTTGAGATATGAAGAGTTTCTTTGTTTGAAATAAAAGATTGAGGAGAGGAAACTAGGAAGGAGAGGAGGTGAAGAATTTGAAGGGGAGTTGGAATGATTAGAGGGGAGGCTAATATGATATGAAATAATGAATAGACGATAGTATATATGAATTAATAGAGTACTATATAGGGAAAATAGAAGAAAGAGAAAGATAAGAAGAATAAAGAATATAGCTATGTCGGTTTCCTTTCTCTATTTCTTAATAAAGAGAATAATAGATTATAATAACGTATTTTATTAGTATTCAGATTATATTAATATACGAGTTACTTATTTTACATACAAAATTCGTTTATATATAACTATACATTTTCTTTATTTATAAATATAATTTTCTGAAAATTTGATACAAAAAATTTAATTATATAAAAAATTTAAAAATCTAATTGATTTTAAGAAATTCGAATTTATAAAATTATTATTATAAAAATAGCTTTTTTGTAATAAAAATTATAACAATTTCCTTTTTCTTTTAGAAAATGATGAAATTATTTATAAAAATAAGAGTAATAAAAAATCTAGATTTTTATTTTTTTTTAAGATTTTTTATTTGAGAAAATAATAATTGGTTATTAATATATTAATATTTTAAAAAGCTTGATTTAAATAGTTTTCGAAATAATTCGTATTCTGATATAACTTGTACACTAATAAAACACGTTATAGTCTTTAATTTTACTATAACGTAGTTTATTAATACATGCATTATATTAGTATATATACCACGAATTTTACATACAAAATATGTTTGTACATAACCATGCACTTTCTTTATTTATTAATATAATTTGATTTTTTAAGGAAATTATTATATTTGTTTACATAAATAATATGAAAATCGAATTATTTTTCAAAAATTTGAATTAAAATAAGAGTTATTATTAAAATAATTTTTTTGTAATGAAAATCGTGACAATTTCAACTTTTCTAGAAATATAATAGGAATATTTATATAAAATTTAGATTTCTAAATATCTTATTTTCATTGTGACTTAATGTATTTTTTTAAAAAAAAAAATAATGATTTGTTATTAAAATACAAATATTCAAAAAAGATTAATTTAGGTGTATTTTGAAGTAGTGCATATACTAATATAATACACGCACTAATAAACTACGTTATACTATCTACTATCTATACTCACTTGTCGTAATATTACTTATATTTATATTGTATATCTATAAAATGATCGTTGTTTCATCTATAAAAAAGATAGAGCTCTAATTTCTTCTCCTTTGCACTCAGATATTGTTAAGTATACTTCGTATTCATGATTTATAAGAGGAAGAAAACATATCATTGCTATTCATCTTATCTTATCTTATCTTATCTTCCTACCTATCCATCTATCTATCTATCCATCTAGGTATTCATTTCATTATTATTTTCATTTATTCCCTAGCAATTACTCCTGGAGATATATGGAAGGTATAAACATGACATACTCACCTACCTAAACAATCATTCATGGAATTTCATAGATTTGCATACCAGGTTGTGAAAAAGCGGTGTGAGATTCGAATCAAAATTTTCACCTTCATTCCGGTATTCATGCACAACACGATGAAGCAGAGGAACGGAGAACAGATTCGCAATTCGCCTGGCGAGGAGCGAGGAGTAACATCTCCTTTGGGATGTATGCATGTATGTGGAATGCAGGAGTGTATGATATTGTGATGAGGCTAGATGGGAGGAGATTCATTTGATAGGGGATTTTACGGAGGAGAGTTTAGAAGGGATGGGGTTAGGTTAGCTTGGGTTAGGGTTGGAGTTGGGAGGTTTGAATGAGGTTTGAGATGAGGTGAGGTGAGGTGAGGTGAAGTGATGAAGTGGTGAAGTGATGAAGTGGTGAAGTGATGAAGTGATGAAGTGATGAAGTGATATGATGTCAAACCCCCATTTATCTACTCCTTCGAAAATTAAAAGATATGAAAAAGTATCTAAAAAAGGATATGAAACATGTCAAGAAAGAGAAGAAAAAGAAAATCCATGCAGATCATTAGTTGTCCAGCAAAATGTCTGTTCGGATTTTCGATGCAAATGTTAATTCTCGATCAAGATGCCCATGGGGGTGGAGAAAGTGGATGTTTTTCCTGTACTTTTTTTTTCCCTCTGCTTTTTCTTTTGCGTGTGAGATGGTGGTGAGAGTTCGTAGGGTGGTCTGTGTAGATGTGAGGTATATATATGTGGATTCCTCTGGCATGTGGAACTTGAATGGGGAAACTTTTGAGACGACAGGGAATTGGGGTAAGAACAAGATAAATTGATCAATGGGTGGAGTTATGGAGAAATACGATAGATAGCTAGATGGGATACGGGGATTAGGGTTTAGAGTGATGGAGGAGAAGTGGAGAATATGACGAAAGGTTTTTCATGCGTTGGATGTATGGGAGCGGAGTAAGCACATACGCACGCGAAGTATGTATGTATGTGTGTGTGTGCTGAATACACTTTGTGATACAGTGTGAAATAAGCGAGGAGAGGTTTGGGGAATGGTTTGTTCAGACAGCGAGCTACTTATTTGATTGATTGATCGATGGAGAGATTGACAGTGTGTTGCTACTTGCCAGTGCAATGAGACACTAGAGATATCTCTTGATGATGGATGTCAAAATCCAGTGTGTGATGCTTATGTATACTGATTGGTATGCACCAAGTATGTATGTATCATGCGTATCAAATCCCCACGAAACAAGCCACGTCTAAGAAGTCAAACCCCCAGAATATGTATGTATGAGTGGAGTGGCATGGGGAATACAAAGAGGGATAGATTTGGAAGATCTTTGGGCTTAGGACAGTATTCAGAAACTAGTAAGTAATTCGATTGGGGGTGTTTCTAAGTGGCAGATTTGAGAAGTTAGAGTCATGTATTGTGGAAGGTGGGTGAAATGATGTGGAGAAGAACAGACGAGACTTCTTCTAGTGAAGATTTCATTTCCTCAATGCGCATCCCTTTTTGGTTGCGATTGGAATTGTGAGATTGAAGTTTTATGAAAAGTGGAAAGTCGATTAGAGTGTTATTGGGATTACATCGACGGTGATTATGAACTCTTCATAATGTGTCTACAACATTTGTATAATTCTATATTGTATGATTCGTTAATACTTTTCTGTGTTGAAAGCTTATATGCCATAGTATGCTCATGTAACAAATGATCATATTCACTATATCGATCAACCCAAAAAGATAACCAGATGGTCTAACTGAGAATTTCAAGATAATGTTTTACGATGTACCATATCATGCGAAATCCGCACGTCAAAGTCTGGAACATATGAGTATCCCTGAGTCCGAAAGCTAGGCTGGAAACTCTTCTGTCGTTTAAGATGAATAGAATAAGGAAGACAGGTATTTAGACGGATTTGGGAAATCTCAACTGGATATCAGATTGATGTTCAATGCACTGCTACTGTATCAGGTTTGCGGAAGCTAGATAAAATAGTCTTCTCTGTTTTTATGTGGAGTTAAGAAAAACTAGATCGAAATCCGGATAGAAACAAGAACCAGCAAGCGAAGATTGGTTGTCAATATGATATAGATAGAGTCAATGTAAGCACCTCAGGATTAAGTCTGAAGGAATAGTTCACAAAAACTAATTTGTTGTTACGAGCGAATGTATATATTTGCTGGGGATATGATTCCAGAGACACCGTTAAAATATACCGTAAAAAATGCAGATTTAATTAGTGAGGGAGTTCTGTTTCGTGTGGATATATTCTCCTTTCTTCAAGTTCGCTTGTTATTACTGGGGGTTGATCTCGAGTCAGCCGTTTAAAAATGACTTATCCAATCGACCAAGTAGCAATATGAACTCTTTTCATCGACCTAACATTACATAGAGCATTTTTCTTCAAGAAATAACCTTTAAGAAATTGAAAAGGAAAATCTTTAAATCCTTCTTGAGAAAGTGAATCTTCGATTCGATATGGAATTTCAGAAAGTATATAGTCTCTTGAATTCACAGATATGAATTGACAACAATGTCTAGTGCTAGGCGATGTTTGTACAATCATCTATATGCTATTCAATACGAGAATGAAACTATTCTCTAACAATAGCTTCTATAATTCCATCTGCATCCGGTTCATCCTATCCCATTCATATCGTCAGTAACTCAATCATGAAAAAAAGGGAGAGAAAGACCGTAAAAGAAACTTTCGAATAAAACAAAATCCCCACCCCATCACATCTAACACAAAGCATCACAGAAACCTTCAACTCACCTCCGGAACCCAAATACCCGTGACTTCAAACCCTGCTTTTACAGGCAACTTCCTCCATTCTTTCCCCGTCCTCTCGATCCCCCCATTAAAAGCCATCATAGTCAAATCCAAAAGCGCATGATATGTTGACGCCCCTGATTCCGGCACGATCATCTCATGGATAATGAGCTTTGAGTAATTTGGTTTCATTGCGTTTTTTAAGAACACGGAGGATTTCGAGACATTTGTAGTCGGACCAGTCGTGGAGAATGTGGTGATAGAAGTAGATTCTAGAGTCTAGAAGGAAAGGGGGTATTTGTTAGTTCAGAGAGATAGGAACTGGGAGAGAATGTAAGGTTTGAAGATGCGGGGAAAAATTAGCAAGAAATGGTTGAAGAAAAATGTACTCTCAACGGGCTGCTCTGTAAAAAAAAAATCATATCCGCATTTCTCTATTCACTCGCCTAATTCACCCTCGCCAATCTCCTCCAAAACATGCGGTTGGTCTTGCAAGACCAATCTCCCCACCCCTTTTTCCCTTCTCCCAAATTTTTCCTTAAAAGCCATAATATCGTGGCCCTTCCCTCCACCCACATCCACCAAAAACGTATTATCCGCCCCTTCCACCCCCTCAAAAACCCTCTCCTCTACCGGCCACCAATCCAACCAATATTTTCGTGCTCCCATCGTATTTCCCATAAATGTATTAAAATCACCAAGCACGTTCCCAGGCATGGTACCAAAGTAATCGAAACTTTGGAGCTTAGTTCCGTGCGCGTATTGCATGAGGCCATCGTGGGGATTTGTGGGGGAGGTGTGGCTCGTTTCGAGAAAATAGCGAGGGGCGTGAAGGGCGTCTAACATGGAGGTTGCGAATTTGATGATTTGTGATGTTTAGTGGAATATGAAGGGGGGGGCGACGAGAAAAGGAAGGGGGAGAAGAAGGGGAGACATACAACATGCGATGACCAGCCGCAATACCCTTCTGTGTCATAGCTTTTGTAATAGGGGTAGCCCCCCAAGTTTCCTCATCCACTTCCTTGACGAAACTTGTAGAGGCGAGAGGTCTCAATATTCTTTCTACTCTCTTATTAGTTCCCTTGGTTTCTCTATAATCAATGTGCAAATAGAGAAGTGTATAAATAATTAACAACAATTCTTCCGCACCTGATAGCTCTGCCAATTTTGCTACGTTAACAGGCTCATATTTAACAATATGCTCGAAAAGATTGAGATCTACTGTGATTCGGGCGCTCATGGGTATGAATGTCTACATCTCGTTCAAAATTGTTATACTCATATCGCTCATATCTCTCGTATTTTCAACTCGATAAGCCCTAAGAAGAATAAGACGTACCGAGAAAGCAAGCTCCATAGCAACATTTTCCGGCGCCTCAATAGTTGCTGTAAGAGCCTTACTCAATCTAACAGCTTCTTGTTGACTTTTCGGAGAACTTCCATATGAAGTATCTGACAGTAGTTTACTCAGATTTTTCAAAATTTCTTGCGTTTCTGGATTTGCCATTTTAGGATAGATATATGTAATTCAACTGTCGAGAAGTAACGACGTGATTGAGCGATGTGAAACTGACTGTTGAAAAGAAACAAACATATTAAATGGAATCCTAGGTCGACGCATCTTTATGCCTTCCACATCACGCAGCTTTTAAAATTCTGTAGAACGTCATGCTTTCACTTCAGCTCACCTCGAATATGCTACACCGAAAACCGCAAGAAGTGCGGTTGTGTGACACCAAAAAGGTATCGCCCGAGATAGGCTAAATTGGATCCTTGCTCAGGATGCATATGCCATGCAGTGTTTTTGCGATTAGGTTACATTTGCTATTCTGCCGCGGTTCGTCTGACTCGACTCACTATTATGATGAATCTTGATTGATGATTAATCGGTCTATGAGAGCTTATAGTTGATAAATGTCGATTGGAGGGGGGGTGGGTGCGGCTTCAGGGACGCAAAATGTGGTGAGATCAATTACGCTGCACTTGTTGGTTTCTGTTAGATGTTAGTATAGAGACAATTGGGCTCTTATAATTTCATTTCTTTGGAAGATTGTAAGTATATCAAAACTAAAGTTGCGAATGCCATTCTTGACTTGTTCAATGTTCGTATTCGCATATACGATAGTTGAACACAATTCTTATCGAACAAACAACATCTTCAATACCTCATCATAATATACACACAGAACGTCCAACGTCCCAAGTCACTTTTACACCCGAAAATCTGCTTCCTCTACTCTCCATACACACTCAAAATCCAAACAATAAAAATGCGCAGTAACCTTCAATAAAAGATGCACTATCCCTTGCTTAAAGACACCAGACGTATGATAATTCGCACTTAAATTTCAAAGATTCTCCAAGACTTAGAGGTTATGATTATAGATAGTCCTTCAAATCGAAATATTCCGAAATGGAAATCATGAAAGAAGTCGATTGTCACAACTACGTTAAATCTTCCGCCAGAGACCACTTGGTCCTTACTCTTGATCTAATTAGTAATAAACAGTAAACACGATTAATTGATAATGTATCCTACAGTAATGATAAAGCGGGCCGAATACTGATCTAATATAGAACCAAAAATCAAATCTGAAAGCGTGTGCTTTTACATGCGCAACCTTAATGTCCTTTTCTCAATTATTTGTGACCTTGGCGTTGTCAAAACGTATTTTCAACTGTTGAAATGAAATGCAAGCATGATAAAAGAACCTTTATGTGGCAAGTACATAGAAGTTAACATTCGGATCTGGAAATTGTGATTTGGGTTACTAGAGTAGATGTTTTCGTGCTTGAAATCCTCTACTTGTCCGGTATGTCACTTCCCTCTAGATCCTCAACGTAAAATCGTGAAGCAAATAACTAATTTGGTCAAAGTAGGGTTGATATTCAGACATGCATTTGAAAACGCCTAGTAGTGATCATCGAAACGCGTAAATGCATTTCCAACGTCATCTAGGAAGAAGAGCGACTTTATAATACAATTCAGGGGCGCTGGCATGTATGTACACGGATATCTCTATATTCAAGACCCCTTTGATGGCTCATGACTTATGAGCAACAGGTCGATGGCAGAGTTTGCAGGCCTGGTCGAAATGATCCAATAGGCTATCATTGCGAGAATTATCCCTTTACGGTAGAGGAAGTATCAATCGCCCTGATGACTCTGGTTTATTTTTTTACTTCAGTTCCCCCACGATAAGCCATCCAGACCCGATTCAGGTATTCGGCATGGAAAGTCCACAACCAAACAATGTTGGACTCACTGCTCTATCACACACTTCCTGCTCGGCCAAATTTATTCCTTCCATTTTCCAACTTGGTTGACGACCTGATCTGTTTTCTTACTGTAGGCCTCTCCATGGCATGATGGCAGCACAATTGATAAGAAGGCGTGGAGTCGTTCTGGAATCTGGTTGAGTTCACGGCTATGCCACCTTGCGTTCTGTTGATAATCAAATGGAATAAATCTAGCGACAGGTAATGAACGCTTATGGGAACCGAAAGATAAAGATTTTCATTTAACTTCAACAATAAGTCGCTAGCTATACCGATAGTCCATTTCAATTGTCGGATCTCTCATCCACCTACTCGGTCGATTGTTATCGACCGGTCACACGCTTGAGATGCGGCAAAATCCCGCCAACAAGAGCATATAGCAATATGGATTCTCAAAGTTTATGACTTCTTGCCTTGTGATAGTTGGCCATATTGTTTTGAAGAAGATGGCATTGGTATTACCCTTTTGCCTGGCCATTGTGATCTCAAGGTAATATGGGAAGAGGTCAAGAAGTGGACTCGCAATTTTAGAGTTCACAGAATGTAGCCATTTTGAGGTTTCCTCATCTGTCCATGTTCTGCCGTCTCGACCATGATCAGTGCTAGAACTTCGTGTAGCTAGAAAATCCAAATGAAAAGTTTTAGATCGATGTATCTAAAAGCCTCAGTACGATTAGCTATATCCAAACACAAAATTGCTCAGGTATACCACCTACCGGTTTCTAAATTTGATCTGAGCTTGAGATATTGGATATCTGTTCAAGTTCACTTCTTTCACCCCTTTTCTTCTTCTCCATCTCCATGAGTCCTTACTTTGTGCTATAATCCCAATATTCCAATCAAAAAATCATCAAGGTAATTCCTCGAAAACTAGTTTCCCTTCACCTCTTCCATCCCTCCATTTATTAGTACTCATAAACAACTCCTCACACCCCTCTAACAACCACTTCCACTTTCTCGCAAAGTTTTCCTCTACCTCCCAATTTTCCGGTATCCACGGATCACCCCAAACAATGAATCCCGTTCTTCCTCCTCCGCCCTGTAACCCATACATAATATCTCTACAAATTTCGATGTCATCCCATGCACCACCCCTTGAGAGTGACGAAAGAATGTGATCTCTACATCTCGGAAACGGAAAAATATCAATCTCAGGATGATGTTCTATTTCGATTTGTAGGTTTGTAGGTCTTAGCGCCAGTGGAAGGTTTGATAGATCTGGTATACCCTGTGGATACTGTGTCGATGATGATTTGTTGAATGGAGAAAGAATATCATCATCCATACGATCAACAGGTACTTTGAGAATTTCTACATTAATAGATAAAGCACGGATGATATTGAAATGAAGAAGAGTGAGTAAATAGGAGTCTGCTGGGATAGAAGTATCGGTGATATAGGAATTGAATGATCCAGAAGCGACAATGCGTTTGAGATCTATGTGATTGGTACACATACACTCTTTTGGAGGAGGTGTAGCAGGATCAAGGATCATGGGTCCTTGTGATTCTACGACTTTGGTTATTGCTTGGAGTTTTCTCGCGTCGGCTTTTCTACGTTGTCCTAATATTGAGATTAATACAAACGATTAATTGGATCATATAAAGACTAGGGTTACAAACGAGAAGCCCGTTGGTTCAATCGATTTTGCAATTTCCTCCTCATAACCGTACTACTGGTACCGGTCCAATCTTCTTCCAGATTCTGAATCTGTGATCTTTGCTTCATGGGCAGGATTTCGATCCGCGGTATCTCGATACGTGACGTTTCAATCATGGGGCCATTCATATTTCCGAATTGCGGCGGTATTGGCTTAGTAGTATAACCACTTGCAAGTAAAGCAAGTGAAGTTAGAAACATGATTGATGAAATTCTGCGAAGAGAAACGCAGCATGCTGACCTAGCCTTACCTTTATGGCGGAGATAAGGGGTAGTGGAACCGAGTTGGTGCCATATCTCCGGGTAAGCTAATGCAAGGTGCTGACATTCAGCAGGGGTTTTTGATGTTGCCGAGTCAGCGATGTGGCTCGTAAATGGGAGCCATATTTGTGGTCAGCCAATAGTTGAATAATAAGGAGTTAATTTTCGAATAGTTTACTTGGTCCAAAACGTTATTTATTGCAAACTGAGCAATAATTGTTATTTAATTCGTAACTGTGGCGCATATATATATATGCCACTTAATCATGATCTCGCATAAGCCCTTCCGCTTCATGACCATCAGATGACCCTTCAATAGAATCGAAATCTTCATGGCCATCATCAGTAGTCTTCATCAATCCCGCCATCCGAATGGCATCCTCTTGTCCTTTCTCCACATCTACCATCCAAATGAGCGGAATAGGTAACGCAATCAAAACTGCTAAAAATCCAAATGCCGGTCGAATTTGACCCGTTGCATCTACAATTTTACCAACAATAGCCGGTCCTACCGCCGAGCTTCCTTTATCTGTGATTGCGAATAATGCATAGAATGCAGCTTCACTACCGGGCGGTATTAATAGACCATAAAATGATCGACAGTATGAAGATAGGCCACCCATCACCATTCCGTGAATGATACCTAGAGGGTAAATTTCATACCACTGCTGCAAACCTCCTACTCCCCAAGCCTGTACAAACGGTATAAAACCAAGAAGTCCATACAATGGAACCAATTCTAGAAGTAAGAGACAACAGACGATTATGTGGTTTGTTCTCAAACAGAATCGTTTCGATATGATAGGCCAAACCGTTGCACCGACTATCCCAGAACTTGTGGCCACTATAGAAAGCACAGCGACGGCTACAGTTCCCATTTGTAGCTCAGTTCTAGCGAACAAGATAGCAGTTGCTGAAATAGTGGCCACAGCATCTGAAAGGAGGAACCAGGCAATAAGGAAAATTAAAACTTGTCGAAGTTTGACGGCAACCTTGACTGTTTTCCATAACGATTTCCAAGCAAAGATTGTATATGACATACAAGTACGTACAAAAGCCCGTCCCTCATACAGGGCTGTTGGTAGTGGTGGTCCAGGTCTATCTCGGAGCCACATAATTGATGGAATTGTAAATGTAAGCCACCAAGATCCAACGAAGAATAATACTGTTCGCAAAGGAAGTGTTGACGAAACCCCCATTTTGTTCATGAAATATAAAATGAGAATGCAAACTACTTGCACGGAAACTGCAGCCATGTAACCAATCCCTACTCCTTTAGATGATATCTGTGTGGAAAGTTGAAGATCTGAAGAATCGGCCTTGGATCCTATGTCGACTTTCTTGTCGGCTCTTTGGCGGAAGCTCTCTCTCGGCTTTCGGCTACTTTGTCCAGTAGATATTGGCCGAAGAGGAACAGATGAGGAGCCATTCGACTGATCTTCATTACTCTGAGCAAGTGGATGATTAAGAACCAATAGTGGCAAGTAAGAATTAAGAATGACAAAAGAGCATCCAAGACACACAACACAGATGACAGTCAGCAGGGACCCAACCACAAAAATCTGTGGAACTACCAGAAGAAAAAGCATAGCAGACACGGATCCCGTGAAGCCAAATCCTGCTAGAAGCTTCTTACGCCAAGTACCTAGAAACTGTCAGATTTAAGATGAGTAATAAAATTACGAACAAACATACCATGATCAGCAACCGAGCTGACAGAGACAAGGGCAAGAGCCTGCATAAACACAGAAATAGAAAATGTGTACATTGCAAAGCTTGCTGTGGTTAACTCAGTACCAAACACATTGATGATACATTGATGTGTATCTGAGCCTTCAGCTCTTGACACCAATGCATTAACAGTAGCATTTGCAATGGCGGTTGCATTTTTCGCCGTGCAAGGTGTGATTTTGTCTGTAAAAAGAACACCTTGTTCACGAGCAAGTTGCTCTAATGTAACGGGTAAAAATGAACCTGATATACTGTGTCAACTTTGGCGTTTTCGAATTCGAAAATATAACGTACCAACAGCACAAACAGCGAATACCTCAGCGGCCAATCCATAACAAAAAAATCCTCTCAGCTCTCGATCGCTTGTTGGACTTGTATCTTCCGCTGGGTAGCGTGGGGCTCGTAGCCCAGAACCGCCATCTTCCATGAATTTGAAGTTACTGTGTGGGTATCATTGGATACAAAGAAGTTCAAAAGAATGGTTGTTACGCTCGAATGATATGAAGTTTTGTTGTCCTGAAGGACGATGAGAAATGTATGTGGTTTTACCTGAATCCGTATCCTGTTTTAGCGCATCGGTACGAGCGGATGTGGCTTATTTCCGGAGTTATTCCGATTCATCAGTTGACATGTTTGTGATGTTCAAACGGATTCGAAACACCATTAGTTTTGGCATTTTATAGACGATTCGAAGCTAATAAGAGTGTTTGGACTCTTAGAAGGATACAGACTTAATTTCAAATTCATTATTTTCTAGTAAGTATCGTAAGATGGGTACGAGACACTCCAATGAATCTTCATGGAGGTTAATGATATAATCAGTACTCGAGTACACCAGACAAGCATTCTCCACGTCAAGTTCCGGTTTATCCGGAAAACTGGTCGACAATGTTGACACCGCTTTCAGTGTGCCATCGTATTGAGAGACATTACATAGATACTAGTAGTTGATAACTTGGACTTGAATTTGCCCCTTTTCAACATGGACCTCTGTGGTTGGATTGTCATGGCATTGATCGCAAACGCTACACGCCCTCCATGCGAAATTGCGAATTGACCATCTAATCATGAGACAATCAATCGCAACCTCCTTGGGTCTTAGACCTTATGAAAGCCTCGGCTAATTAAGCATATTTCGTAGTTCATGCAAATTCTTGGGTTCTCAGAGCGGACGAACTGCCATAACATATGAAGTATTGGGCGGCATGATATTTGTTTCATCATGTTTCTGGGGAACATCTAGGGGGAGGGGGTGGTATAACGGTAGTTATTTCGACTTCTGAGCTAAAATTATGAGTTTTTGTGAAGAGGATTACATGAATCTTGACAACGTCAGCCATTTAGGGAGCACGAGATTCGCGTTGCGCTGACAAAGTCTAAGAGCAATAAAATAGAAAGTTTGGCCCGGAGCGATGCACCTGTAGTTATTCATGGGCTGTTATCATTTATAGATCAGGACCTTAGCGCCTTTAGACCCTCGAATCCTAAATCGTCTGTCCACCCCCAGACAACAGAATAATGTCTCGCCAGTAGAAGCCATTCCTCAACTTCATCTAGACCCTCAAGCCTGTCCACTCTTTCTCTTTCTTTGCGTGCGACCCAATGTTCCCAGAAATCTTCTATGCTCACGGCATTAATGCCACCCTTCGCGCTGCCAAACCCAAGACCTACTAGTCTATCCTTCTGATCATTAAGCGTCTTATACTTCTGCACCGTAGGCATAGTGATTCCTCTTGATGCTAGATTTTCTACCATCATCTGTCCAAAAGCATCGTGTACTCCCACTGGCTCGTAAAGAACAATCCCAATACTTGGGATCTTGTCTGTAAACCATTTTATGATACTTTGTGCCGCGTTCACCTCAAGATAACAAAGGCAACATTCGGATATTATCAGTGTGGCAATGTCACTCTTCATACCATGAAATGAATCGAGACCAATTGTGCCGGGTAGTTCCCGGAGGTCCAAAGGATGGCACACGTATCCAACTTCTGAACGAGTCTCAATAGTCCGGCTGAATCCCCATTGTGTATTTTCTTGTGGCCCACTAGCCGCCGTGAATTCTGCAAGCTCGCCACCTTTTTGTCTGATTTCAAAGAACTTTTCATTCCCAGTGAGTTCTGCATGATTTTGTTGTACTAAACGATTTTTCGCAACGCATACAGATGGAAAATCAAATTCATGGTAAATGACATTATTGTGCAGATTCTTCGCCCGAAGACGAAAATAGCGAGTATCTGTTCCCGCGCCCAAAGATATTATTTGTTTTTGCTGTGAAGTAGAATTATCAGGTTGAGATAAGAAGGATTCGATGAGGAGGTCTAAAGCAGTAGTGCGAGAATATGTACCTAATTAAAGTCACAGATTAGCTGGTTCCGAGTAGGTCAGTGGACTGCACTCGCAGCAACGAAGGCTAACGAACCTCTATTTATGATTGGCAGCCTTCGTGTTCCACTTCCTTTGACGAAATATTGAGCAAACTGGTCCTCTAGATAGCCAAGATTGACTGCACTAAGACGAGATACAGCTGCATCTGTGTCGGTACCTTGAATGGCATTATCTTTACGATTCGAAGAGACCTCTGAATGAGGATTCAAAGGATCGCGCAGGCCTTGCCCTCTACCTCTGCCGCGAGACCGAGATCCACCTCGCAAAGAGAGAAGGTTGGGTATTTGCTGTGCAGACATTTTTGAGGCGCCAATCTGTTGCGTACTGAGGGACTGTGTCTCGATGGCCCTGATTATCGAAGGTAACCTTATGAATGTATGCTGTAGGTAGCTTCAAGCTGTGGTGGGGTTCTAGCCCAAGGCTAAGCAGCCTTGGGCGAGGCTGAGGATTCACTTTGAGGCAGCCCACGTGATTATGATCATACTCTTTGTAAGCAAGTTCCATGATATTGCAAAATTGACCATTTCTATAAAGATTTGTTCCACAGCAGGATTATTTGGGTTGCAACACGACATTTACGATGAAGGCCATGAGCGCAACATGCGATATGAATTCAAAATCCTTTGTTACCGCCAGTGACACACAACAGGGAAAGAAAGCATCCTCAGCCTCCGCATGGATTTGCAAGATTCATCCATCAGTATTAAGCATTTTATCAGGAGGATCTGAGTAGTACTCTGAACTTGACCACATTCAAACAAGTCCCTGTCTCAATATACGTATCTAAAGTTTGACACTTACAATTTAGGAGCATGGAGAAGAGTGTATCACGAACGAATGCCGAAATTGTTGAAAGCGTCGTGATCTCCTTTTGTGATCTCCTTTCGGCATAGTTGCAAGAAGGGTTCACCTCCGCAATCGCTTGATCCCCGGTACCTTTTTTTTCAATACAAACCCAGGTACCGGTATGTGCTGTGCCTCCTTGGACTTATCCGATATTCAATGAGATTTGCCGAAAGTTTGGCTTAATACATATCAGTATGGATATGTACCCGCATTCCAGCTGGTTTCCAAAATAAACAATCGGGAGAATGCTTCCATGCATTTACCTAAGTCTACGCATATCTGGCGTTGTAGAACATGAATAATTACGTCAATAGCTTTCTTCTTATCTCCAAACATACGAATGCTAGCAGTCTGAGTCTGTAACTATTGAATTGGAGAAGAAAAGGGGGGAATTGATCTTCAGAGTTCAAGATGTAACAATTTGCGAGAAGAGGGGATGCAAATCTTTTAACGAGAAGTGTTCTTAGCATTGATTTGATTGATTCGACTTTCGTGGTGGTCTATTACGGATGTCAAATTTTATCATTCAATTGATGATATTTCCCGCCAACAGCCAAGAAAAAAACACAAGGATCAGAAGCATGTCTTCAAATCAGCTCTAAACCTTATTTGGTTCATTTAATTTAAACTATCTCAACTACATGGGTCTTATCATTGGTCGATCTCTTCATTTTGATTCCCGTTCGACATTAGCGTCAGGAACACAACATTATGGCTTTTCACATGTCCAATCAATCTTGGAATTGAACGGAAGATAAAAGCCTAATTGAGGTTAAATTCGTGGTTTCTATCATCCAATTTCCTATACCGCCTGTGCAAAGCCTGTCAAAGACTCAATATGAACTAACGTGTGATGAGAAAGATAGGAAAGAGGAAATGGGGAAATGCCTTGACCTTTTTGGTGGGCGTTCCTAAGCCATTCCTATATGGATTTGGTGACCTGCAAGCGCAGATACCTCCAACTGAACTGTTTATCCACCCGCCCACCTTTACTCCCCTACATCTTTTATCCTCGTCCTTCTCTTCAATATCAAGTGTGTTCAACGTTCACTCTTTTTTGGTTGCTCGTCGCCATTACGCTCATTGAATTTGCTTTAGACAGCACCTCACTCATTTTGCAAATTGGCTTGTTATTGACTTTATTGACATCGTGGGTGTCATTGGCTTGAAGGGAAAATACCATACACCAAGTTTTCGCCAACGAATACGAGAGGCAGAGAGGATATACGCAGAACAAAAAGCGCATCAAAGATCTTGCAACACGAGCTGAATTCGGTAGAGCGCAGACTTCACAGCTCTCACAATGAAGTTTCTCAATATACCAATCGCAATTGCTGCCGCAGCAATCTTATTATTACCTTGCGAAGCCAAGCTGGGCCGTGGGCTTTCGCATCTCGATATTCTACAAAAGCGACACTCTCATAATAGAATTCATGCTTCACCGCGAGCAGAAGATTCTACGAACTTGTTACAAAAGCGTGGTACTTGCGAATTCCCAACGGATGCTGGATTGGTTGCTGTTACACCCGATTCTAAAAATGCGGGATGGGCAATGAGTCCAGATCAAGCTTGTACTCCAGGCTCATATTGTCCATATGCTTGCCCTCCTGGTCAAGTGATGGCGCAATGGAATCCAAAAGCCACTTCATACACTTATCCATTATCTATGGTATGTTGGAATTATTTCGGGTCTAAATGAAAAACTAATCGTTTTGCAGGATGGAGGATTATACTGCGACTCAAATGGCAAAGTCAGCAAACCGTTCTCCAACCAACCTTATTGTGTGTCAGGGACTGGTACAGTTGGAGTCGTAAACAGCTGTGGTGGAAGCGTTTCATTCTGTCAAACAGTTCTACCTGGAAATGAGGCTATGTTAATTCCAACATCGGTGGATGGATCCTCTCAATTGGCAGTTCCAGGTACAAGTTACTGGTGTGAAACCGCGGCTCAGTGAGTATTGAACATCACACTGTGATTTTACTATCCTAACAGTCCATAGCTACTATATCAATGCTCCAGGAGTCTCGACTGCTGATGCTTGTATTTGGGGTGATGGCTCAAAACCTATTGGGAATTGGGCTCCATACGTTGCTGGAGCTAACACTGTCGCCAACGGTGATACCTACCTTAAGATTGGTTGGAATCCAATTTGGACATCCTCCTCCCTTTCAGATACCATGCCTACTTTCGGTATCAAAATTGAATGTTCTGGGTCTGGATGTAATGGACTTCCTTGTTCAATTGATCCATCAGTTGATGGAATTGGAGGAGTTACCAGCGCCGATCAAGCTTCAGGGGCTGGAGGTGCAAACTTTTGTGTTGTCACTGTTCCTTCAGGTCTAACTGCCGATGTCGTGGTATTTGAGCTTGGCGGTTCTGGATCTTCGGCTTCCTCGTCCTCTAAAGCTGCTTCAAGTAGTGCTTCGCCAACTCCTTCGCCAACCCCAACCCCAACTCCCAGCTCATCATCTTCTACCCCAACTACTTCGTCAACTCCACCTCCATCAACTAGCAGTTCTTCCTCGTCTACATCTACATCCGCATCTACATCTTCTTCGATATCTTCTTCGACATCTTCTTCTTCTTCTTCGATATCTTCTTCGACTTCTTCTTCTTCTTCTTCTTCTTCTTCTTCTTCTTCTTCTTCTTCTTCTTCTTCTTCCTCCTCCTCCTCCTCCTCCTCCTCCTCCTCTTCCTCTTCCTCCTCTTCCGCAATCTTATCTTTGTCGATTTCTACCAAATCGAGCCCAACTTCCTCACTTTTCAGTCACACAACGACCTCCATTGTTGCTTCCACCTATCCAACCGACGACGCTCACGTGTTCCTCCAAGCTGGAAATTCTACTGTTGGCGCATCGAGTGTCTCCCTTGCCCAAACCGTGTCCAGCACTGGAACTGGAGTAATGAGTCCAATCGCAAGTGTCGCCGAAACCGCTTCTGCCACAGCATCGAGTACCAAGAAATCGGCAGCTACATCAACCGAATTATCAAATTCGATATTTGGCCTCGTTTTACTACTCGCCATCGGCTGCTTAATCTAATCACTGCCACTTGATGATACTATATCCTCATTTCTTATCGTATAATTTCCCATCTCCTGGATATCTTTTCATATACTATCTTCTAATACGTCTGGACCACGTAATATTTTCTGCGGTTTCGCCTTTATCATGACTTCACTTTCTGTCCAACACATACATTCTTATATTATTTTTGCTCAACGCAACATTCACTTTTATTTCGAATCATTCCTTCAAACCAAATTTATCACCTATGGTGTAGGAGCTCTCGAATACTCCATATCCTAGAAATGACACTTTTGAAGTCTATCGGAACTAGTTTCCTTGCCAGTTTTTTCTGTCGTATTTATACCCCTATTTTTATGCTTTATTTGTATCACGGATTGGAGGGAGACGGAGTGATGGACTTCAGTGTTTTTACTTGATTGCTTTTCTTAAATTTTTATGATGCGTATATGTGATTGATGTTCATACACGATTCTTTGGCGCGGACGTTAGTCTTTCTTGGAACGAAATTTTTACAGGAACAATTTCTGTCCCATCTCGTTATGGTGAAGATTGGACTGGGGCTTTGGAAAAGCAAGTGGGCTTGGCGAGCTTTACTTGGTGGGCGGGTGGCTAGACTTGGGAATTATTATACGTATAATATTTATATCTAATATTGAGATATGGTGATGGTTGGATGGCAGAGAGGTTGACGCTGGTGATATATGGATTGGAATTGGAAGTGGTATATGAGAGGAGATGGGAAGGAAGAAGAAACGGCATGTTGATTTGGTGCGGAATCTGGTGATGAAGTGGAAGACATGAGATGAGACTGAAGAGGGTGGTTTGGTTATGTAGTAAAGGATAAATAGAGATATTGTTCCGACGTTTACACCTACTTGGTTTCATTGATTTCTCATTGTGATAATGTCGTAACTTTCTTTCCAGTGCCATCACCAAAGAACAGCCTCAGATATCTCGGTTCATCCCACTTATACGTCCGTCTACCTAGATATCAATAGTTTATGCATAAGAAAATAGCTAGTCCCGAACTGTAAAGGAAAAGATCCTTACTATACTATTTAAGAGTATGGATAAAACCACGTAATTTGACTATCTATCTACAGAACAAGTATTGTTGTACTCCGAGGTAAAGTTGAGCCGTTCATCTGCCACCGAACCGAATTTCCTAGTTCGCGCATGAAGCAGTCTCGCGACCTCGAGAAAAGCCGGACACTAAAATTCTATACTTTAATCAAAATTTAATATCAAAACAAGAACAATGACTTCTTTGATCGAAATTTGAAGATCAATAATTTATTAATGAATAGTTTTACAGGTTCAATTTTGAAAATATTATAATATAAAAATGAGTTTATAACATAACGTATGGGGAACTCGAACATATAGGGAATTCGGACACTTTTTCAATTATTCTATACATGATCTTATTCTATAAGCTATATAATCCTTCAATTCCAATTCCAAATTACTTAAACTATTCTTTAACTCTTCTTTTTCAATCTTTTTTTCTAATTCTTTAATTAAGTATTTATATAGCTATTCTTATAGTTTTTTCTTCTTCAATTTTTATTTATTTTATATATTATTTTCAATATTTCTTTAATATTAAAAACAAATTAATCTTATAATTTGATTTTTTTGTTTTTAATTCTTTTTTTTCAAGTTTTAATTATTTCCTAAATATTAAAAAACTATTTCTGAAATAAGATTATCTCAATATTTTGAGATTCTACAAGCTTAGTCATTCTTTTAATATATCAATGAATTAATAATACAAAAGAATTATTATTTATTAGAATTATATTAAAAATCTGATTTATTTATTTTATTTAGAAAAGATTTCCTGAATATAGATAAATCTAGGTTTTGATTAAGAATCCTTATTTATAAAATAAAAGATTATTAAAAGAAATTAAATAATAATAAATCAAGTACTTTTTGTAGAATAAAAAATATTAAATCAGTTTTTTTTTTGATTAATTTTAATATTAAAAGAATTTAATACTTTTTTTCTAATATTTTAAAAAAGTTCTATTTATTTAGTTCTTTGAATTTGTTTTATATTAATTCGAGAATATCAATTAATCTCTAAAATATAATATTATTTTATTAGTCTATATATTATAATATTAAATAATTAAAGTAAGTGAGAGTAATAAAAAGGTAATATAAGTAAATTGATATTATTATTTATATAAAAAGCAATAAAGCTATTTGTAATATAGTTTGAATAATTATTCATAATCAAAAGTCGAGGTTGGTTATTTAATACTTTCTTGGATTCTAATTCAAAAACTCTTTTTAATTATTTTAATTTATAGTTATTTGAAATCCATTTATTTATATTAATAAAAAACTATTAGTTTTGAGATATATTTTTTGGAATTCATATAGAATTTGTATTTTGAATCTTGAAAATGATTATAGATAATAAAATATTTCTAGTTGTATTGATATATTCAAATACAATTATTTATTCTTATTTACTAACTATAACTTTCCAATTCGATTTTTAAATAGAATTAATTATTATATAAATACTTTAAATATTTCCAATTTCAAATTCGATTTTATTTATATTATATATATTATTTAATTTATATTTTCACTTAATAAAATATATACAAAATATATCAAACTAATTTTGAATATTTTTTGGAATTGCTTTTTTAATCTAATTAGATTCTAATTAATATAAATAATATATTTTAAGTTTTAGATATTGTTTTTAGAATCTATAGATCTATTTATAATTTATAAATAAAATTTCTATTAAAATAGGATTTTGAAAAAATATGATCCAAATATATTAAAAACGAATTTCATTAGTTATTTCCTTTATTAATATAAGTATAATAAGGAATTTAATAATAATAAATTATGAAATCCATTATATAAGAGTATTTTCTTTTATATTTAAAAGAATTTGAACTATTTTATAAATTTGGGAATATATTTTCTTTTTAGTTAGTTTATTAGCTAGGGTAGATTTAGAAACTTTAAAATACTTTATAATCTTTTTAATTAATTTAAATTCTTTTAATTAAAGTGAAATTATAATCTTTTAAAACTTTTCTTTAATTTGAGTAGATATAGAAGATAATTGAGTATACATAATAAAAATTATTATGATTTTAAGTTGATAATAGGCTAAAAGTATTCGAGTTCCTTATATGTCCGAGTTCCCCATATGTTATGTTATTAAATTTTGAAAAAGATTATGTCTAAATCCTATTTTATTTTTGCGGGTTTGGTGTCCGGCTTTTTCCCGAGGTCGCGAGGCAGTCCATATGTAATTTTTGAAAATTTCTGAAATGGGGTATACGGAAACGATTTGTTGGCTTAAATGTAAAGAATATTTCTATCTATCTATATACTAGTATAATTCTGCGATTATACTACATAAGTATGAAACGATCCTGAAAGCAGGCTAATTTCCATAAAGATTAATAGTCGTGTATATGCGGATGAAAGATCAGTCTAAATGAGTTCATGAAAAAGACTTTTATGTACATATATGTATATATTACTATACTACCCCCTCGCTCACTCTCGCTAAGGTGAACAGGATTGTATGTCCAGGTATCTCTCTCTCCATCTATTTATAGGAATTCGACTATAGTTCTAGATAGAAATTGATGAACAATTAACTCGGAGCCTCGGTAGCAAGATTAGCATGATGAATACTGTTTGGCTCATAGTTTGTTATATTGAATAGCTCTCATAACCTCTCAGAATTGTAATTCCATCTTGAATGGTCTTGTGTTGTTGTCTCATCAGAAATACTGATATTTGTTTGTTAAAATTATATGTATTATGTATATAAAAGTTAACTAGGGATAAATATTGACGTTTTGAAACTAGCCCTTATATACACTTCCTCCCCCATTTTATTCCTTCATTTTTTCCCTACTTCCAACTCTTATTTCATTTAGAGATTAGTAGTACCAGTAGCAATCAAGTCCAACCAAGCTGCAAGTCTGTTTTCGCCAATGATTAGCCACTATACTCCCCAAATCCCGATTTCTGAATAGAAATAAAAAAAGGGAGGAACTGCTACTAACCTGTATCCTGCCTTGGCAATCTGCAACTTAACCACTGGGATCGCAGCTGTGTAATATCCATTGGTACTCAAATCGCCAGTCTCAACCGCCGCAACTCCGTTGGACAAAACGGTACTGCAGACATAGGCATTTGTATCAGCTGCCCAAACCATTGAGGAAGTAATTGGGTCATCGATATCGATGTCTTTAGTCCAGCCCGCTTTCAAGGAAGAATATGTTCCGGTTTTAATGGCGGTGGTGAGAGTAGTTGCCCATGTCTTGGCATCAGCAAGTGCGTAACCGCCGGTGTATTGTTCGGGAATAGCAGTGTCCCAAATTGAATGGAGGTTGGTCTTTTTGCCGGCGTAGGTGACTGAGATGGTGTTGCCACCTACATCGAGGTTTTCATCGTGGAGAGGTTGGTGGATGTCGCCGAGGAACTAGGATGTATGAGCAAGGGTTGGTTATGGATATATTGACGGTTTGCCCACGTGGGGACAAAAATGGTACGGAGCATCTTTTTTGTGCGAGATGTCCATGTGCCTTGGAAATGACATGTAGAATAAGGAGAATGGAGACATGATGGAATCCAGAATTGAGAGAGAAGTTCAGAACATACGTGAATGATCATCTGGTGAATATTAGTCATGGTTTCTGAAAGAAGGATTGGTGCTTACCTTGGCAGCAATGTCCAAATTGGCAGCACTTGCAGTGCCCTTCTGTAAGATGGTTGTCTATTGTGGATTAGCATCACTAGTAAATGTCATTGATCTAAAATAGACTCACATAGTTGTTGATGGCACTAATGACACATCCTGCAGATCCACAATCTCTGGAGTATGAAACGCCACAAGCTGAAAAAGTATTGCATCAGTATCGTTTTACTTGGTAAGGTAGTTGAGTTGGGCAGATAAGTTTCCCCTTGTCAATCCACTTGAGGGATTCGTTGTAAAAATCTCTTTACTCACAAGTAGGTGGGCTATCTTGAGCATCAATGAAATGGAAAGGTGCCGAGAAAGTTCCAGCAGTGGTGTATCGGTATGAATCAGCCTGTAGAGGGTTTAGAAAAATTGATGTTCACTTTCATATCTAAATTGGAAGACTAACCCAGGTAGCAACAGAGGCCAAATAATCTGTGCTAGTATCACCCAAAATGTCTTGGAAATAGGTCTTTGTTGCAGTAGAGACTGCGGAAGCGTGATGTTAGAGATATGTATGGTATCACGGTAAAGATCAGTACTCACCGAAGTTGGTGGCAACGTATCCAACAGTGTAATGCCCCAAGGCACCCCAAGCGTATGTAGCTGGGACCCAAGAGGAGAGGAGAAGAGCTGCACTAGTTTGAACCTTCATGATGAAGTTGGAATGCCAAGAGAGACGGAGAGAAAAGCCGTAGGGATTGATCTGCTGTTGGAGAGGATTGCTGGTTGATCAAAAGCTTGGATGGAAATACATGACTCTTTATACTTCAGATAATGGATTGTATCGTCCACGTCCTAAGAGTGGCATCAATGTGGATTGTGACGTCCTACATGTGAAGCTATCCACATTGTTTTTCCCCTCCGTGATGGTGGTTATGAAAGAGGCAGGTACCACTTATTTTGCCTTCCCATTCCACCCACCCTCAGAGATCTTCCAGTCCACCAACGAATAACACATCAAAGATACGAAACGATCTCGACGCGCATATACCAAACTACTGATAGCATAAATCGGGGACGGCCGTCGCCCGCCAAGATTTTTATTCTTCTTCAAAATATCTGCAAGGATTCCGAGAGCCGGTATAGAGTAATGCTCGTGAGTGGAATGCCAAGCACTCGCCAGGCCACAAGCTTCTCATTCTAGAAACATGCACGATAGCCACCATTTAACCACCTTCCCGACTTGTTGCGGATTCCCGATTATCACTGGATATCATAAATATATTCTTAACATGAAGAGTATCGCTGTTCATTGTATGGTCGGAATAAAAAAGAGGACTAGCAACTACCGTCTTCTCCGCATATATGCAGGTCAGAGATGAATCTACAAGGACGTAGATAAAAGATAACCAATTATCTTTACATGTGTGCTTGGAGATATGAATTGAAAGGTTGCGTGGTGCTTATAAAGTATTAAAGTTTTAAGGTTGTTAAGTAAGTGTTCGGGGGATCTGCTAAACTTGGAGAAGTGTGATCTTTGTCAGCGGATCCATCTTCCTATTTTGCCAATCGGCTTGCAATCGGCTTGTACACGTCCATATTTCTATATTGCATACGGAATTCCTATGTCAAAGTTTCTCCATTATCCGTCCGGCCATCGGGGACGAGGCTGCAGTTGCAAAGGGAATTCCCACAGAAATGAGCTTGTAGAAAATACTTGAATTGGTACGGGTCTACAAAGCCTAGACAGATCATACTATCTACCACATGCAAACTGTATTAGGTATCTTTTTACCACGAACGCCCGATTGCGCCTCGATATACCATCCTTGATACACATGATAAATTAGTTTTAGTCTTCGGCCATATCGATATCCCCATCAGCATCACTGCTCTTCATCTTTTTCGATTTCTTCTTCTCCTTCTTCTCCCCACTATCCTTATCTCTCTTTCTCTTCTTCTCTTTCTTCTCCCCATCCTCAGCTGGTGCCTCGAATTCTTCGGCCCTCTTCTTCATCTTCTCCTCCTTCTCCTCCCTCTGCTTCTCTATCCTTTCCTCTTGAGCTTTCCTCTCCTTTGCTTGCTTGCCCAAGAAGTACTCTCCACTCTCAATTTGTAGATCAACCTTGCTCTTCTCTTGTGCTGGTGGGAATGGGGTGTAAACCTTCTTGCTCTTGTCGGTAACGTTTCTGGGTACTCTTCTCTTGTTCAAATTCCTCTTCTTGAACTGTGGCAGAAATCTATCCCAACTCTCGCCCGCTAATTCTGGATCCTTAGCCAACTCTCGCTTGATCATTAATTCCTTGATGTGATATATAGGATGAATGTTGGCCATGCAATCTTCGATGATTCGTCGAATCTCTTTTAGGCCTTTGTAAGGACCCATTGCTGATACAGTATTTCCTTGAACTAGTAGATAGCATTCTGTAAGGAGTTCCAACGCTTTCAGGGTGCTTCCATTTGGACCTAAGATTCTCTGTCTTCTCTTCACGAATCGTTCCTTATTTCGAACCAGGTTACGGATCTTAATAACATCGCATGCTACACCATCTTCAAGAATCTTGATCGCTTGTGGCGCAGGCACACTTCGTGCAAGTAGCTTAATAAGATCTCGTGCGTTGAGAATAGCGGCTGGATCGTATGTCTTTCGGGTGGTCTTGACCGTCATAGAACCTTCGCGCAAATCAAGTGTCGCAGCAATACCATATTTCTCGAGTGATTTCATTATAAGCGGCCAGACTGTCTTAAGATATACTTCGCGATATTTGGGGAAGAGTGTGGCGAAGGAGGACTCTTCTGTGAAGGTACCACCTGCATTGTCAGCAGGTGTGAATGCTTCAATCTAGTAGGTATTTATTAGTATTGCGCCAAACCAATGGAATTGGAAAACTTTAGAAGTCTTGGAGAATTTACCTTCCACTTATCAATATCATCTGTATCCCAGGGCTTTTCCTTATTGTATACCGAAGGCATTGTGAATGCTGATGGTGAAGGGTGCTTGACTGGTGAAGCTTTCAAAATTAAAATTCCTACTCAAAAAAAAGTTATGGCAGAATAAGAATATTTTTGAGACTTTGCATTTAATCTAGGTTTCCGTAGTAGCTTGCATGCTTGTAGCTAGGGTCATCTAGAAGTGTCATCAGCGCAACTATCACGTGATTTTAATCACGAGGTCTAAACTTGGATCGGCTGCATCGGAATCTTTTGTTTACCCCTGAATAATCAAGCGGAGGATTGATTGACAAGATTGACAGATTTACAGATTGCTGGTCATTGAGGCGATTAGGATTAAAGTTATCAAATCGTGTTCCACGAATTCGTCATCCATAAACGTTTTTACTCTGTACCTGTCTGTACTCAGCACAACTCGGCCCTCTTTTTACCAGCTGAAGACCCTCATCTTATGTAGGATTTCAATGGCACCTACCCGTTAATGTCGTTTATGCCGTTCATGCCGCTCATGCCGCTCATGCCAGTTTATATCATTTATGCATATCATTGATCGATTTACGCTGATCAGCTTATCGGGGTAAATGGAACCATATACAATATATATATATATATCCTGGGCATCTCAGAGTAGGTCCACCGTCCACAACACTCCGTACGTTTTTTATTTATACGCACACATGATCAGGACAGAAAAGGATTAATCTATTGTTTCCAACTGGCTCGTGACACATTTTATTTTTATCCTTTCCTTCCTTGAGCTTCCTTCTAACCTACAGAAGCGACCGTAATCTTAAATTTCGATCTCAGGGGTAAACTAAAGATGTTCTCGATGGCTCGCTTTCAAGGATTCTTAATGGTCAGCCTTGTTAATTTCCTTGTACACTGTTGAGATTGTCTCGATTGTTTATCGAGTGCCGATTAAGCTGATCCACTCAATTATCTCAGTTCGTCAGGAACTTTCAAACCCTTGTGCCGCCTTAGCGCCACAGTCGTGGATCATCTCCTCATGACCTCCACCCGGATACATATCATTATATATCATATCGTATAGCTTGATCGAAGCAGACGAATTAGACCTAGCATACCAACTGTTATGTATAGATTATGATAATTAGGGCTTGCATTGATCGCATTAGAGGATTGAGAGAGGTTACACTCAATCTAGATGATAAGCTTACTTTAAGTGATGATTGCTTCCACTCATTCTCGTTCTGTCGTACTGCTTCTAGAAGATTGCTTTTTTTGCCAGTCCATCTATCTGAATCTTAACACTTCATATTACCATAGCTTCTTAGCAGCAGCTTTAGTGAGATGTTCCGATCTTGCATGCATCGATTGATGTGCTCCATGCTGTAACTAGATTTGCACAGAGTAGAGGAGATTCCAAGGAGATGAAGTGGTTCAATTCAATCATAACAATGTGAAACTCCTACGTATTGTACTCCCAATTTCAAATGCATTCTTTGACTTCAAAAGTAATGATGAGTAGGTAGATAACTCATTCCTCGTAGTAAAAATCGTACATTTTTGGAGCTTGTCATAATGTCATTATCAGGTACCTTGCGTCCGGGAGTATCCTTTTTATAGATTGTTTCGATTGCAGGGTAGCGCGAATGGATAAGGGGCGGCCAGGATCCAGCTGCCATTCCTTTTTCCTCAATAACTTCTTTCTCAATCTTTGCAACTCTGCTTTGATACTTTGTATTGTAACATCATTTACTGTCTCTTCATTCATCGTTCTGATATACCCAAAATTAAATCAATCCCTCTTAAAAGTTTGAATATCATTGTCATTCGTTTGGGTCAACCGAAAAGTCTCGTGCTTCATTCACTTACCTGCCACTCTCGAAGAATAATTTCATTCTAGCTACTAGTGTCAGCGTAGTCGCCCTCCTTCTAGTTATAATTCGAACGATCTCTGCTATTTTCGACATAGACATTTGAAGATATATAAAAGTTAAGGAACCGTCGATTTCAACCTTAATACATCCACATACCTCGCGTTCTATTTCGGACGTGATTTAATAACAACCCCCCCCCCAAACCGCAACCACGGCTTCTACACTCGCTCCCATTTATCGGGCATCGCCCCTCGATATTCATCTGCGGCCTTCTTCAGGAGACTCAAGTCGAGATCTGCCTCCATTCCGAATGTCACCCTCAATAAGTGATGGGAGGCAATCATTACCAATCATGCCGCCCATGGATCCAATTTCTCGACCATCTTCGACCTCGACAGTGAACTCCTCTCTACACCATAGCGCATCACTGCCGCAACTACCTGGTCTATCAGCACTGGCTTCATTAGCTTCGGGTACAGGTTCACCACAATTGAGGTACGTTTAGATTGCGGAGGAAATATAAGTTGATGTTACTCTCGTCTCGGATGATGGAAGGGTTTCAATTCAATTGGAGATGAAAGTTTTGAGTACAATGCTTCTTGTTTCTTACAGAATGAACAAAGAGAATCCATTCTCGAAGACATTTGAATCAATATTGGGATTCCTCGAAGCTTTCATGGATAAGACAGCTATAGTTTCATCTAATTGAATTCTATGATGTACAGCATACTAAAGCATGGTCCAAAAGCTAATTAAGCACACTATAGAGCATTCAATGTTGGACAAAATATAAATATGGGGTATGCGACATCATCACCATCTGCTACTTCCGGAGGAGGGCAAAACAATTCACCAGTATGTTGTACATTCTCTTTTTTCACCTACTCTTTATGCCACTATACATCGTCTATTTGTATCAAACTCCTGTTCTATTCTTTATTTGGTCATTGTTCAGAAAATCGCCGGGCACATTCTACAATGTCTCTCTCTGAGTCTGGTGATCTGATCTCCATGTAACAGATTTATTTACCTTTTCCACTTTCTTCCTTTCCTAATTCATATTCTTCTTCCTGTCCCTCCTATCCTACCAATCCTTAGGGATTTATGTGCCGATACGTATTATACGGTCACCTTTTCTTTATCGGTCATCCCTTGTCATTTAAGTCTTTTATGATCAACCGTACTCGGGATTTTCCGTCCGTGCCTACCCAATTCATCCCACTACTTCATACTTCAAGCGATATCAGCAAGAGCAATCTGCGAGAATTTTCGTTCCTTCCCAATCTCCGATAACGATAGCGATTTTGCAAATTATCATACTATCAATACCGCAATTATGGCTACAATGGCTAACAATGATCGCGAAACCCAACAGCCTACCTGTCAGAATTGTCAGACTTCAACGACTCCTTTATGGCGAAGAGATGAAATAGGTTCTGTATTATGCAATGCTTGTGGTCTCTTCCTGAAATTGCACGGGCGACCTCGGCCGATAAGCCTCAAGACAGATGTTATCAAGAGTCGAAATCGCGTTAAGAGTTCAGGTACTGCTCAAGGTGCAAAGAAAAAGGTATCTATTTATTCTATCGTGAATGATTCAGCAGAAGTGGCATCTTGACTAACGCGTTCTGTCGCAGACTCTATACGAAGCTAATGGTCTTGACCAAGCGCGATCGCAAGCTGGCACACCACCGCCAGGTTCACTTGGACATAGAAGAGCATCAGGAAAGTCTGCCAATGGTCACTCAGATGGATCGAATTCTCCTATCTCCAGAACTGCGACTCCCTCGATGTATGGTAATCATTTACCTCCATTCAACGGAAATGGCTTGGAAGAACATCATTACAACCATTCCCCGTCTCTTCCGCCTATGCACATCCGACAACCTTCTCCTGGCGATATACGGTCTACATCCCCATCTATGAATGGTCCGCATGGTCTTGAAGTGCCTCAGACATACGAACAGCTTATCGCCCAGAATTCATCTTTGAAAACTCGCGTCAACGAGCTGGAGGTTATAAACGAACTCTTTCGTGGTCGAGTCACCCAACTTGAACAGGATGAAGCCAATGCGAACCAAGGAGTGGCGATGCTTAGAGAATCGGAGCATAATTTAATGAATCGACTTGAGGAATCTCAACGTCGAGAAAATCAATTGAAGCGTCGCCTGGATGATGTTGAACGTGAACTCAACGAACTGCGTGACGGGGCACCTCGCGCTAAGAAAATGCGTGTTGCAGATATGGTTGGGGACAGCGAGTCGTCAACTCCACAATCAGTCACTTCATAGTTCAGCAAAATCACCACCACCTCTCATTGATCTTATGCGATTCATGAAAATATCAAGATTGGCGTGTGGCGTTTTTTTTGCTTCTTGTCAATGGATGATACCACATAACGAACCCTTTCCTCTACTCTAGTGCAGTACATTGATCCCAATGGAAATTTGTTTGCATTCTCTTCACATCAAACTGCTACTGGTACTCCAGTCTCCACCAACATTGATGGATTGTACTACTACAAAAATATGCGCTTCCTTTCTTGCGTTTCTTTCCCATGTCATGTTAGGATCCTCATCATATCACCAAAAAAATTATTCGGGCAGACGCATGGATGGTCGCGTCACCACTTTAATGTCAAAATAATAAGCCACCCACCTTTCGCTTTCGACATCTTTAACTATTGCAATTTACGATACCAGTTTTAGACATGAACATGCAACAGCATGAAGCCTGTCGTATACTTCACGAATGGCAACGCCGTCGAAGAAAGGAGGAACTCTAAGCTATGAGTTTCAATGGAGAGTTAGAAGTAGATATGAAGTTGTGTTCTTTCTCGCCAGGTTTTCCTCCCCCTTCTGCTCATGCACGACGCAAAAATAAAAGCTCGTGCTGTCCATGCATGTTCATGCACTATCGCTTCCCTTTTTGCAACGAATGCCGGTCAAATATTCGAATGCCAAGCGGATGGCAGCGTTGTGATATAGTTTGGCCTTTGCTGATAAGATGATTGCGTTTCGAGAGCAAAACAAAAGTTCATGGTTCTGAAGACTCCCGTTTGTTCTACCTTTCTCTTGACATGATGATGTGATGTGATATGATGCAAATATTGAAAAAATCTCTTATCTATCGAGCCTATCTCTCCACCATGTTATCTCTCTATCTATTATCTCCTTTTCTCCCGATATCGATGAATGGGCCCCGTGATCGACGAAAGCGGTGAAGGTTTCCCACGAAATTATTAGCCAACGATTGTGATGTGTAAGCTACCTAATGTAAGCAGATACCTAGTATTAACCTTTATTGGTCAAACTGGAATCTAGCTTGTATCAATTGGCGAGCTTGAAAAGTGTAGTAGACTTATTACTAAACTGTGTTTATGGGAATTGGCTTAAGTCGATATTTGTGCTTTAGAAAAAAAGAGGGGAGCTGTAACAAATTCTATAGTACTTGCTTGCTCTGGTGTGCTTCGATGGTCCGACCCCGCGACATTTTAGGTTCAAGGAAGAGAGTACAGACCACGAATACCCTGTGTTAGCAATTGTAGTCGCCATATCTATTTTCCCATCTGATAGTTCAATTGACCAGCGCTCCTTCTGTTCGAGCATGTAGTATTTTACTTCAAACTCCATTTAAATGATCAAATAGATAGTAAAATTTGTCTTGCCGTTCATCACATTGAAGTCGAAGTGACATTTATGACGCGAAAACGAACCACTTTAAAGTCGTGCACCTTCAGGCGCGTCTTCCCAACATCAATCGCGTTGAACAACCAAAGAAAAATGACATGGCTACTATAAAACCCATTGAAGGCCGGACGGTGAGAATATCTCTAGGACTGCAGTTTACTATATAGTACGTACTAATGATTTGCAAATCGACAGATCCATCAGATCCAGTCTGGCCAAGTAATTGTCGATCTATGTTCGGTGGTGAAAGAACTGGTGGAGAACAGTCTGGATGCTGGAGCAACGAGTATCGGTAAGTACATATACATATCCATACTCTTTAGATTTCACTTGCTAAAGACTAAATAGATGTGCGATTTAAAAATCAAGGACTCGAAGCAATTGAGGTACAAGACAATGGTGGTGGAATTTCTCCGCACAATTATGATACCCTAGCACTCAAACATTATACCTCGAAATTGACCACATACAACGACCTTACGACTCTTCAAACATTTGGATTCCGTGGCGAAGCCTTATCTTCACTATGTGCGCTCTCAAATTTATCCGTCATTACATGCATGCCAGAAAGTGCCCCGAAAGGTACGAAGCTCGAACTCGAGATCTCAGGGAAGTTAAAAAGCAAATCCGTTGTGGCGGCGCAGAAAGGAACTACAGTGATAGTAGAGAACCTATTCAATAATCTGCCAGTGAGGAGACGAGAGCTTGAGAAGAATGTAAAACGAGAATGGAGTAAGGTTACAGGTGTTCTGGGACAATATGCTTGTATACAGACGGGTATTAAATTTACGGTCTCGCAACAGGCAGCTAAGGGCAAAAAGACAACAATCTTTTCTACAAAAGGAAATCCTACTACTAGAGAGAATATTGTTAACGTTTTTGGTGCGAAGACTCTTACCCAATTAATACCAATGGATTTACGTCTGGAGTTAGAGCCTACGAGTGGCCCCAGTCAGAAACGGAGTACACAAATTGATGGTGACACCAAAGACATCCGAATTATTGGTCACATTTCGCGTCCAGCTACGGGAGAAGGACGTCAAACTCCTGACAGGCAAATGTTTTTCGTAAATTCACGACCGTGTGGACTTCCTCAAGTGGCAAAGGCTTTCAATGAGGTCTATAAATCATACAATGGATGGGGAAGCACTCAGTCCCCATTCATATTTGCTAATATCGAATTAGACACTCATCTGTATGATGTCAATGTTAGCCCTGACAAACGTACTATTTTACTACATGATCAGAGTCGTATGTTGGAGAACCTTAAGACGGCTCTTGCTGGACTTTTCGAAGGTCGGGATCATACGATACCAGTGTCTCAGTTGTCAGCACAGAAGCAACTGCAATATAAACAATTGACTATTAATCGAGAGGCTGCGAGTGCATCGAAAAGTTTGCAAAAGCGTCCGCAAACATCCCCGCAATCTGCCGAGGAGGAGGTTGATGCGGGAGAAGACGAAGACGAAGAGGAAGAGCAAGCTTCGGGCGCAATCTCGGACTCTAGACGATCTAGTAACGCTCATAGCACAGCTAGTCAGGATTCTCATGTGCAGTCTAATTCAAAAGCAAAACGTTCTTCTATATCACGAAACTCATCGTCGCGAGATGGCGCAGCTATAAGTTTGATATCAAATTGGGTCGGTCGCAAGTCTGAGGAACGGAGTGATCAACGACTTGCACCTCCAAAGGCTATGCAAGATGTTAACCAAGGGCCGTCGAAGGAAAAGCAAAGATTGATATCCAGGTTTGGCAGGCAATCTGTCCCGGTTGGGGAGGCTGAAGATGATCTTGTAAGCCCTGAAAGCTCCATTGCGACTGCTCAAGACTCTCAACCTGCGCCCACTTATGGACCCCTTCGATACGTTGCTGATTTCAATGACCGGATGACTGAGGCTAGCGTCTCGAGAGAAGGATTAAAGGCGTTAGAAGGCGCTGAAGACCTGCCCGGTCCATCTCAGTCAGAACCACCTATTCCTCAACTTATATCACCATCCCCGATGTCTACTCCAGGAGTGCTGAGCTCGCCTGGAAGTAGCAGACTACAGCGTTCTCAACAAGAGATGGCTACAATAACGATAGGTGAACATACTGTGACGAGCTCTATTGGAACACCTCCCCCTAAAAGATTGAAAATTAATAGTAATTCTGCTTCCCTGCGTGAAAGTGGGAAACTTCAGCGGAATTTACCTATGCCATCTTTTGGGAAACGGCTTCTCCAACGATTTGGTGCACCTGGGACTCAGACCTCAAAAACTAGCGATGATACAGATATGATCGATATAGAAGAGCCAGAGTCTACGTTAGAGACAGCTGCACCTGGTTCCTCGAGCGCTTCTGATGCAGAAGCCGAAGAAAATTCATCAACAGCTTCTCCGGTAAATGAGGACGCTCCTATATCATCAGAAGATCCACCAGAAGACACTGCAGATGAAGAGGAGGAAGACGGAGAGTACTTGGACGAGAAGGAGAAAAAGGTTCGCGAAGAAGCCAAAGTCCAAGAGATGATTGAGGAGGTTGAAAGAACGGCTGCGCTACCGTCCCAAGAAAATGTTTCTCGTGCAAAATTACTTGTCAAAGGTGGCGCGAAGAGGAAGGAATCCACGTTGCACCTGACACAGACTATTGACACTACTGTTCTTGATATAAATCAAAAGTTCCAATCTTTGCAAGACGCGCTTTCTTTGTACGCAGATCAAAATGCTTCCACTTCTCAAGACGAAGCTCTCGATTCTGACGGTGCCGAAAAGCGGCTTTCCCTCACAATCTCCAAGAGTGATTTCGCTAAGATGAAAATCATCGGTCAATTCAATCTCGGCTTTATTCTCGCTTTGAAAGCCCCTGAGCCGACAACCGGAAAGGGTGGAATACATACAGCAGATAACGTTTTCATTATCGATCAACATTCATCAGACGAAAAGTACAATTTTGAACGATTGCAAGCTACTACAATAGTACAATCGCAAAGATTAGTTTACCCCAAAACACTTTCTCTCACAGCACTGGAGGAAGAAATTGTAGCTGAAAACCTCGATATTCTGGAACAAAATGGATTTATTTTGACCATCGATCAATCATCCCAAGATGTTGGGGGAAGATGTCAACTCGTCTCTCTTCCTGTTTCGAGAGAAACAACTTTTTCAATCAATGATCTTGAGGAATTAATTGCACTATTGGCGGAAAGTGGTGGTAGAGCCGGAATGGTAAGGCCGAGTAAAGTTAGGAAGATGTTCGCGATGAGGGCTTGTAGGAGTAGTATTATGATTGGGAAATCATTGACAAAGGGACAAATGGAAAAAGTGGTCAGGCATATGGGAGAAATTGAACAGCCGTGGAATTGTCCACATGGGAGACCTACTATGAGACATCTTTGTGGATTGGGTTTGTGGGATGTGGACGGGGAAGGATGGAAGGAGGATTTGGAGGGAGAAAGGAAGACAGATTGGGGTGGGTATGTGGGGATGAAGAGGGGGCTGGAGTAGATGGTATGATGGTGGGATGAAGATATCGGGGATGATTGTTTTACATGGGTTTATTTGGGTTTTCTATGATATGGTGTTGGGGAAAGGGAAGGGGAAAAAAGATCTTCTGGAAGTTCACACAGCATAATTTCGCTTTCGATGGTATCTGAGGATATGAAATCTGCTAGATTTTGGGAGCTGGGGAAAGAAAAGTAATACTATGTAATACATTCATTCGTGGAAGTTTTTATGTGTTTTAGTTAGGTACTAGATGTTAGAGGTGAGTAACTCAGTAAGATAAATGAATAGCTAGCCAGCTACCTAGGTAGTCATTGTAAGATTACGATACTATTGGGATATCCTACTTCGGTCCTGGAATCGAGATTGGAAGGGAGGGGGAAATTTATTTTATTTTCATTGTTTGAGTGTTAGAGGGAATCTATGAACGTGATGAGTTGTGATACCGTGTGCATGGTAGCGAGGAAATTGTGGATGTGATGGGATGCTGATAGGGGAGTGAGGATGTGATGTGGTGGGATGATGGAGAGTTGTGTTGCTTTGCTGGTATTTGGATGGTGAGATTTGTGAGATTAGTTGATGGGTTGGGGGGTGAGTAGATGGTGAGTATATAGTAGGTGGCAGTGATGGTGGTAGTGATGGTGGTAGTAGTGGTAGTGAATGAACAAATCCGCAAAGAGAGCTCCGAGAATCGGATGAAGATTTGAGGATTTGAGGATATGAGAATTAGAAAATAGATGCGAGGTCGCAGTCGCAGTCGCAGCGATGTTGGATTTTGCGTTTTGCGGGGTTATGGGTAGGGGCTCGGGGCCGATGGAAAGCGAGATGGGTATGTACTTAGGTAGGTAGGTACTAGGTATGAATGTATGTACTATGCATAGATACGCACCGAAATAGGATGGACGGATTGAGTTGGATTAGTCGTAGATTGATTGAGTTGGAT